CGTCATGTTTTTGACATTGGGGTGCAGATAAGGGGGTTTCTGGGACAATAATACATGTGGAACTAAATTTTACATGTGGAACTAAACTTTTGCAATACATGGATTATCTCACTTTGTGTTTATACATTTACAGTCACCTAATAATATGCTAGTTTAATGATGTATTATTTTTACATGTTTTTGCTACCTACACAAATAAATGTATGTGTTGATTTCATTAGATGTGTTTGTGTTGTGTTTGCTTAACTGAATGGAATGGACCTAAACTATTCCCACTTCCTCAGCTGTTTACTTACAAATATAAACAAACACCAAACACTTGCTGAGCTTATTATTATTTACTATTCAAATGCTTTCAGCCTACTTCTAATAGGCCATCCTCAAGAAATTACTGTTCTACTATTGAATACAAAGCTTTCGAACAATTTTTAAATTTAAAATTTTTTACATATTTTTAAAATTCAAAACGTAAAATACTAAATATTTAACCAAAAAAATAACATATTATATACAATGTAAAAATAAACCTATATAACGTATAATATACATTAAACGAGTTAAAATACAATCGCCACAATTTTAAGGTTTCTAATTCCCATTTGTTTTTCTATCACGTATTTTTGTGCTGTTGGAAGAGCATTGGCGTCCTTGGCGTTTAAGCAGTTTTTATTTATTTTGCTCTTATATATCTCCATTTTTTCCATACCAAAGGCAATAGTTGGGGAATGGACCGGTTTAATTATTTTTGCCTCATCCCACTTTACACTTGCTCCATCCGTTTGTGCCATAATTGCCAAGATGGTGTTGTTGTGCCCTTTACTAACGTCATACATATGACTGACGTTCTTTTATACGCACCTCCAAGTTTCTTGTGGTGACACCCACATAATCTTTCGCCACTCCTAATTGCTGATTTACAAAAGAGATGGTAGAAAAAATAGATTTAATAAATTTACATATAACAAGAATGTAGAGGGCATAATGGAGGAATTATGTAAGTATAAAGACACGAAAACTGTGTATAAACGGGTGCCAAACATCTACAAATTGTTAAGGAATGATAAGGACGAGGTAGGAATGAAAGAAAAGGCTGGAGTTTAGAATTCCTTTTGTAAATCAGCAATTAGGAGTGGCGAAAGATATGTGGGTGTCACCACAAGAAACTTGGAGGTGTGTATAAAAGAACGTCAGTCATATGTATGACGTTAGTAAAGGGCACAACAACACCATCTTGGCAATTATGGCACAAACGGATGGAGCAAGTGTAAAGTGGGATGAGGCAAAAATAATTAAACCGGTCCATTCCCCAACTATTGCCTTTGGTATGGAAAAAATGGAGATATATAAGAGCAAAATAAATAAAAACTGCTTAAACGCCAAGGACGCCAATGCTCTTCCAACAGCACAAAAATACGTGATAGAAAAACAAATGGGAATTAGAAACCTTAAAATTGTGGCGATTGTATTTTAACTCGTTTAATGTATATTATACGTTATATAGGTTTATTTTTACATTGTATATAATATGTTATTTTTTTGGTTAAATATTTAGTATTTTACGTTTTGAATTTTAAAAATATGTAAAAAATTTTAAATTTAAAAATTGTTCGAAAGCTTTGTATTCGATAGTAGAACAGTAATTTCTTGAGGATGGCCTATTAGAAGTAGGCTGAAAGC